CACACACACACACACACACACACACACACACACACACACACACACACACACAGTTAGGTAGAGATATCAAGGGCACACCCAAACTGCAAAATAAATAAATAACACAAAGGTGCCAGTCAGTGTATAAGACACTGGTCTGATCTAAAATGTAATAAAAAAAAAACAACATACAGACACATTGTGACAAGTCTAGAGGACACAACTTTTTTATGCAAGCTATAACTATATAAAAATAAATGTATGTCTACCTTAGTGGGACATTTGACACAGAGAGGAGGAGGCCAGGGTCTCATAGGTGGGCAGTATGAGGTGGATGAGAGGCGCAGGCAGGTCTCCAGATGATCATCAGTCTTTGTGGATCTGTTCTTGGACTTGATGATTTTCATGTGAGCAAAAGCAAACTCACACAGGTCTCCATCCATAAAACTTGTTGCTCTGGATTTGATCCTAATGTCATTTTGCAGAGTCAAAACCTCATTCCAGAGCAGTCCAGCTGAGACACAGACACAAATTTGGTCTCATTGTCATCCATCCTGGACAAATGCACGTCTATTGAAGCCACAATCTCACTTTTATTTTTAAAATCACAGAAAAGCACGTCTGCAGCATCAAACGCTTCTTTCATAACTTCGTCATTGCTGAAAGACCTTTTTTGTGTTGAGTCAGCATGCAGCTAACCTGGTATGAGGCTATCGTAGCAGTCTTACCTGTTGGACCGAGTGAAAACCAAGCTGCAAGCTTCAGCTCCGGAACATTCTGAGCTTGGTTTAGGAGGGAATTCGCCTCGTAGCGTGTGCATTGTTTTGAAAGAAATGCTGTTTCACCTTATCCTTTTTGGACAAGGCAGCGCTCGAATTACATATGAGTCCTCTTCCCACTCCTGGTGAAAATAATACGTTTTTGTTTGCTTGTTAGCTCGTTTGTCGTTAATTTTTTTTTCGCCTCTCTGCTATGTTTTGAGCACGTGACCCTAAAGTCTTGCGAGATCATGTTCGGAGTGCGGTTTCACGGCACCCAAAACTTGCGAGACTACGTCTGTGAGAATTTACAAAATGGGAAGCAGAGGGAGCTGTAATGTGTTTAAACTCCTCCTGCCTCCACCGCTTCTGCCAGAGTTAGAATGAGGCTCACCGAGCTTGCGGACATGTCCCAGGCCGGCCCGTCAGCTGTTAGACTCTAACAGCTGACAGGCCGAGGATCTACCGGTCGATCGCGATCGACTGGTTGGGCACCTCTGCCCTAACCACTTGGGTTGGGAATAGACTAGTAATGGTTAGGATTAGGAATAGACTAGTAATGGTTAGCATTAGTAAAAGACTAGTATTGGTTTGGGTTAGGGAAAATGTCTGGTTCTGGCATAAATGCAGTTACAAAAATTAATGGAAGTCCATACAAAGTCCCCACTAGGATAAAAAAAACTGTGTGTGCACAGCTCTCACAAAAAACACAAATGAGTTTTTATATAAGACATTGAAGTTTTGAGTGTTTCCTGTTGGTTGGTCTGCTTCCAGTCCTGGCTGTGGACATCGATCCGGTGAAGCTGGACATGGCTCGGCACAATGCTGCCGTGTACAACGTGGCTCATCAAATGGACTTCCTGCAGGGGGACTTCCTACAGCTGGCACCCAGTCTCCAAGGTGACCTGGTCTTCCTGTCCCCCCCGTGGGGAGGACCGGACTACCTGTCTGCTGAGGTCTTTGACATCAGGACCATGATGGAACCAGATGGATATCCTTTTACAGATATAGGTTAATTCTTTACTTTGTTTTTTAAGAAATTGATTTAATGTTTGAAGACAAATCTATAGATAAACCCCTCCTGAAACAGAAAGCTTGAAGTTCAGATTATTAATCTCAAATGAAGAACACCTTTGCAGGTTTGATTTAGATAAACTCAATCTGAATTTCAAACTGAACATTTTCTTCTGTATAAATCTTGTTTGTTTTTGTTTTGTTTTTTTTACTAAAGAATTCAAATGATGGAATCTGCTCAAACTGAAATCTAAATCTTAGTTAAAACAAACGTTTTCATCCTTAATCTAAGACACATTTCAGATTTTCAGCCAGGCCAAACTGATTTCAGACAACATCATCTACTTCCTGCCTCGCAACGCCGATGTGGATCAGGTTTGTGTGTTCTGAACGTCAATGTTTTACAGAAAATTTATCACCCACAGCTAAAGAATACTGCTTTTTCCCCAATCTGTGTTATCATCTCATAAAGTACTGGAATATTTTTAGCACTATATTAAGTTCTTATTAGTTCTCTGCAACTATTTAACATTTGGAGTTAAAAATGTCTGCCAGAGTTAACAACCTTATCAAACATGAAGCTAGAATCCAGGCAGATTTACAAACACTGAGCTGAACTTCAGGTTGGTAGTAGCTGCAGGTCCTGCTGAACAGCCACTATGAGGGACAACAGAATCCTGACTCCATCATAATGAGCTCAGTGTAAAACTGTGATCTGGAAGGCGGGGGTGATATGCATTCCTTTATTTATTGCTGTTCTGCATCAGGACCTGTTTTAGCAGTTTTGTCTCTTTAGCAGCTTTGATTTCTGATCCTGTGAACTTCCCCTGACCCCTGCTTCACAGCACCGCACATATTTTTTTAACAAACCAACTAACTGTGTCCATGTCCACTTTGTCCCAGGTGGTGTCCCTGGCAGGTCCAGGAGGGAGGGTGGAGGTGGAGCAGAATTTTCTGAACAACAAGCTGAAGACTGTGACGGCTTACTTTGGGAACCTGATCCTGTCTGAGAGCTAGAGACAGGCTCATGTTGTTTTCTCGGATATTGAACAATGATTCTTTTATCTGTTTTTATTCTTCCTACTAGCTAAATAAATCTTTTCATAAGTAATTTTTAAGTTACTGAGGAAGTTTTATGTTTTAACAGAATTAAGACGAGCAGTAAACTGATGTCCTGATCACTGAATGTTTGTAGGTTTTCAGGTCAGAGTTTTTTGTGGACAAGAAATAAAAGTCAGCTGTAATGTGTCTGTTGTGAGATATTTACACACAGGAGCACAGCAGGTCCCACTCAAGTCAGCTGAGAACAAGAAACTGAGACTACAGCTCACACAGACACTGAAATTTGACGGTCAATGCGAAAAACCCTGTCTGGTCTGATGAGTCTAGATTCACAGCCCCTCAAGCTAATGTGGTCTGTGAATGTATTTATATGTACAGCGGGTGAAATAAGTATTGAACACGTCAACATTTTTCTCAGTAAATATTTTACTAGAGGTGCTAATGACATGAAATTTTCACCAGATGTTGGTAACAACCCAAGTGATCCATACATACAAAGAAATCAAACCATAAATGTCCAGAAATGAAGTTATTTGTAATAATTAATGTGGAATGGCACAGGGAAAAAGTATTGAACACGCTTACTGAAATTTATCTAATACTTTGTACAAAAGCC